ACACACACACACACAGACACTGATACACACAGACACACACACAGACACACACACACACACAGACACTGATACACACAGACACACACACACAGACACACAGAGACACACACACACAGACAGACACACACACACACACACACGCACCCAGTGTGTTCTCAAGCTGCCGGGTCAGGGACTTGAACTATGGAATCGGCCATGTGGGATTCAGCCGCCTTAACCTCCGTGTTACCTGCTGGCCCCAAACAAACGTTTCCAAAGCACTTCTAACATTACCGTGCATTTTTAAATACCGTAGGCATTGCTAGCTGCCCCGGAGGGTGTGTTTGTGAGGGCTGAGGGCAAGGGGCGCGGAGGGGCGCAGAGGGGAGCAGAGGCAGCGAAGGAGGTACTGAGACAAGAATGAGCGTCTTGGTGCTAAGAGGGGGCAGCCGGGAAGAAGCAGGGAGTTGAATCGACCCTGTGGCCCGAGTCCTTCCCGCACACACACACACCCCAGAGAGCAGACCACAGGACTCTCACAGCTCTGCTCAAGGGCGAACAGCGCCTGGAGACCTCGTGCCACGCAGTGGGCTGGGGGCCAGGAGAATCCTGGCGGGGTCTGCAGGCTGAACGCACGCCTTCATGCTTGTTCTCCCTCGCTGGCACCGGGCTAAGCCCCTCCCTAGGTCATCTCGTCTGGGTGTCACAATGACCCCGTGAGGTAGCGCCTTCTGCCGATCCTGTCACAGATGAAGACGCTGAGGTGTCACCGGGAGGGCCACCCAGTAAGGGACAGAGCTGGGACTCTGCTGGCCACCTCGCTGCCCTGAGGGGAGAGATGGGTGGAGTTGGGAGCAGGGATGGAGAGTGTGGAGGGCCAGTGGGTTTTTCCTTCGGGGTGCGGGGCCTTTCTGGAGGACTTGTGACGGAATGGTGCGTCCGAGCCCATCCGCAAGGTTGCGTGTGGGAGGCTGCGGGCAGAGGCCAGCCAGTGCTGGAATCAGGTGCTGGAAGTAGGCAGCAGTGAGTGGGGGAGAAGGCACCGTGCTCCTGTGGAAACTGCGGAGCACGTGTGAGAGGTGATGTGGAAATGGAGTGTCACCGTATTTTGCGATTCTCGGCACCAGTGATCCAGAGCATCGTCCCCGAAGGCGCTCTGAGAAGGCGCGAACGAGGACAGCCTCTGCTTTGTTTCAAAGCATCTGCCCTGGAGCCAGCAGGGCGTGGTGGCTACGGCACCGACTCCCACGTGGCCACAGCTCAGGCCTGGGTGCCTGTAGGTGTGAGCCCAAAATGCAGGTTTTTGTTTTGGTTTTGGTTTTATTTTTTGCTATAGGGCATGTGCTCTCGTTGGAGAGACAGAGAGACAGAAAGCAAGAACTCATCCCCCGCCAGGGGAATGACCATGCTGTAATCCTTTCTCCTCCATTCTCCTCCCAGGGTCGTGGGTGCACGCATGCACGCACGCGCACGCGCACACGCACACACACACACACACACACACACACACAGCATGAG